CTGCATTAACTTGAAAATCAAATATACTTACATAGATTGGTAAAAAGATAATGGAATATTCTGTGAACTTTTAGAAAAAGTATTGAGACATGTTAATGTGCTAGGCGAAGAAGTGCTTTCACAGCTACTTCAACAAGGAGAAAATGTTTTTAAAACATATAATCAATCAAAACTCCTTAAAAATATGGGGGGGGGGGGGGGGTAATGTTTTATGTTACTTTTATAAAAATTTTGTAAGATTTAGGCGGTGGGATGGCATACCAAAGATTGTTATGCATTTATACTTTGCGGGTTTACACTATCTACTATTTCAATACATGAAAGGATCTCGCGATAAGAGTTATTTCATTTTATATATAATGGGAAAAGAAGGCAACTGAATATTTTTTTTCATCATGATGCTTTCTGAGCATTTTGTGAGCATGCTTTGTGAGCATCTAAGTCAAATTTTGCTGATTCTGAAATGTGCATAAATTTCAGGAAAGGGGGGGGGGGTATCAATGGAACATCGTAACACTATCCCTGCATGTAAAAAGTTAGTGATGTGTACATGTACGTATTGCAGGAAACGTTATCCTTGAAGTAAGATGACATACAAAAATTCATTCATGTTTACAACTGTTTCAGGCGTAATTGTCAAGCAAGTTTCAATAATTAATATAAAAACATTATCTTTTGAAGACAAATGTGTGTAACATCTATAAGTTTTGTGAAAAAGAGTAAAAAAAAATCACCAAAACTGTTTTCTTGTAAAGCAAATATTCAATAACCATGAACTGTATTTGACTCTGACAACAAATAACTTTAATTTCCTCCATAAATTTCAAACTATTATTATTTCTAATCGTCAGAAAATTGGTTTACAAATTGAAATAAAATGAACCTAAATTATTTACAGGTGAAATAAAATATGGCTAATAAGCCATTCATCATTCGCTTCGTCATTCTTTTAATGTAGAATGTAATGCATACTTATGAACAGTTAGAATTGAATGTTGTAAACAGCCTGATTTTTCCAAGTTAAATAAATAATGAGATAAACCAATGCTATAGGAAAGTTTGATATTTCAAGTGATTCTCTCTCTCTCTCTCTCTCTCTCTCTCTCTCTCTCTCTCTCTCTCTCTCTCTCTCTCTCTCTCTCTCTCTCCAAGAATCGTATATTCAATTTTGTTTAATTTATATAACTCCCTTGGGTAGGATTGAGCCATAATATGTAATATTAAGATTTACATAAAAATATATAAGGAAGATAATCTGCTGATGACGAAAACAATTACGCTCAAATTACCATTGTTGTTAACCTCATATTTTCATTGTGGGCAACCATTCACGGTAGCTCAGTCGGTAGAGCACTCTCTCCGTGACAGGGAGGTCGTGAGTTCGAATCTCGGCCTCGACTGACCTAAGTCGATAAAAAATGGGTAGCAACTGTTCCTTCGCCATGCGCTCGGCACTTTGAAGTGAAAGTTGCGGGTCCTTCGGATGAGACCTTAAAAACCGAGGCCCCGTGTCACGGCAGGCGTTGGCACGATAAAGATCTCTCACTACCCAATGGCCCTGAGTGCCGAGTAAAGGTCAAAATTTGAAGCCCTTCACCGGTATATGGTGACGTCTCTATATGAGTGAAAAATTCTCGAATGGGACGTAAAACAACATACAATCAATAAATCATTGTGGGCATTTTAAAAGAAATTGATACATGTATATAATACTTGTATTTCGCGGATCGATTGGCACATTTGGTTACGTAAATTTGTGTGGGAAGAATTGGGATTTTAAAATTTTCTGAAAAGTCTTTGGAGCTGAAAATCCACATTCGATTTATACAGTACTTCTCGATGATTTGTTGTAACAAAGAACCATAGTACATCGAAGTTTCTCCCTCACTGCAGTTCATATTTTTGTGAGGAGCACGGATGAGGACTTGGTTCGTAAATGTTTAACGAAGTTTTGCAATTGATTATCGGCACACAATTTAATTTCAATTCTGTAAAAGTACTTGTGTTTAAATCTGAAACGTTGTTTTGAATTCTGTCTATTAAAAGGAAACTGCGAGAGCAAATTAAATAAACAAATATAGCTTTTAATTAATGCCTAGTTCATGCAATTGTAATAATCAGCAATATTATTGTACTCATGTTCTCCAAAGTCAGAAATGATAAACTAATAAAATGTTTGAAAGATAATATTGCAAAATAAAGAAGTGTAGTCGGTATATACTTGTATATTAACAGGATTTTTTTGTTTACTGAATTATCCACGTTTTGAGGTAAGCTTTAGGTAGCATTGTCATGTTGACAAGGAAATGATTCTATTTTTCATTTCAAAATACCGGTAAGCACATTTAAGTTGGCCCGACAATGTTGTCACGATTTATGAAATAGGTGAACATAACGAATAGATATCAATCTCCAAAAAAAACAAGACACAATACAAATCTGTAAACAGGGTATAAACATGGACCCCAGATATTCTATAGGTGGGATCAGCTGCTTAGGAGGAGTAAGCATCCCCTGTTGACTGGTCAGACCCGCCGTGAGCTCTATGTATCATTTGATCATGTAAACGGAACATTCCCTAGTCAAATTTAGTATAAAACAAAGGCATAATTACTGGTATGAAACAAGTAATGCAAAATACGACCCAGTGACAGGTTATATTTAATAACAATAATGGTATAAATGGTATAAATAATAACAATTGTAATTAAAATGACCATAGAATTTACGAAATACTGACTTTAATTGAGGTTGTTGAAATCCATAAGGTAACATCGACTTATTTCTGAATAGTCTTTCTCGGTTTAAAAATTGATCGTACTCATAGCGTTCTCTTGAATAGCGAATATGCTGGGAGACATAAACACCATATGCAAGCTATATTGGTATGTTCTTTATATAAAAGGAAGTTGACGATAGAAAAAGGAGAGTTATCTGTATCTGTCATACAATTTATCACTCAAAGTCAGTAAAACATACAAAAGTGAATCAGATGTGGTAGACTCTATAGTGTATTTCATTTCAAGTTCACTGGGATATATAGAGTCAAAATATGAATGGAAAAAATTATTGTTAATTGATAAAACTAGGGCTGTGTAAATATATCGATTAATCAATATGTATCCATATTCATGACTGTATCGTTTCGAAATCTAGCTTCCAATTCGGGTGGGACAGAGAGTTTTTCTTATAATTCTGTGAAAAGGTTTGGAATTTCATTCACCAAAAGATATTTCTAGTTGTTATTAATTAAAACTGATCAATAATGAAATAAACGTGAAGGAGATAGCACATCTTAAAAAACTATTGCAAAATGCATAGACAACTGTTTTTAACATGTTAGTTATACAGTCATTAAAAGTTTGAATTTGAAGTGTACTTTGTAAAGAGAGTGAGACATGAACTTCCATTTTGGTAATATTTTATCAAATTTATGCATTAAATGATTTCCAAACCTTTTTGATAGAAATATTTTGGTCAATACACTGCCCTAGATAAAACGTCGTCGATATATTTGAATATGCTTTTTTCTTTTCATTTTTAACTTTTTGAATAAATTCTGCTTCAAAGAAAATAAAAAAAAAGGTCGGCTAATAAAGGAGTACAATATAAATATTTCGAAAGACATTATCTTTTTTTTCTTGAAAATAACATTTAATCTAATGCTTGATATATTTTTTAACATTCCATGGAACCCACTTTTTTAAAAACAAAATCGAGAAACCACCTATTATTCTATATTTATTTTCTTTCTCTCGTTATGTAGAAGATTGAATGTAAAATACTGAAACGCAAAAGAAACACAGCCTACAAATTATTGAATTTTTTATCCAATGACTTTCAAACAATTAATAAAGTAAGGTAACACTACGTTTAAAACCATCAGAAATTTGATTAAAACTTTGAATGGTGTTTTCTAATTTAGAAAGTAACAAATACCTAACCCACGGCCTTTCAATTACCTCGTGCAAGTCTGCAATGCACAACAATTGCACCTCCCTCAATTTCTACGATGCATTAGATTCATCAATCTCTTGATGAGTGAAATATTCTATGACATTTTAAGTATCTGGGTTTTAGATGCTAAAGTCAGCCTGGAGCAGTGCAGTAACCTTTGGACTTCCTGTCCATGGACTGACATTTATGTTATAATGACTCGTTATAGAGTATGACAAGGTGTGATGTTTGCATATTTTCAACTCTCCACCTTTATTTTGAGAATGTCCAGCTAGAGCACTGGAAATGCCTGCTTCCAGTCATTTTGAGGAAGCATAGGCATCACTTAGGGAAAGGAAAGGAGAATTTTTCCCGGAATATTGCCAAAAGTCTTGTTAAACATGCAATTATTTTTTTTATTTCTGTTAAGCGGACTCAAACCTATATTTCAGTAATGGTATGAAAATCATTCAACCGTTAAATTAGCGACATTGCAAAGCTGAGCATGCCATTACTTTTTAAATACAAAGTAATACACTATGTTATTTTTTTTCTCCTAAAATAGGATGTTGCGTTTCCTTTGCATGTCAGTATATAAACAGAGCATTCTCAAGAGTGTCCAACTGCAGTTGTGCTGCATGTACTATAACAGATTTTTCTGTCATTAAAGTCATTAAAGTTCAACTTCAATTTACTGGGGGGTTGTGAATTATATTATATATCAAAAAGAAACTTTTCATTTTTTTTTCAGAGTTTTATTTGATCATTTACAAGTAAAATAAAAGTGCATAGTCAAAGTACTTTGCCAGCCAGTTATTACATTGTATATACATTATAATATTATAAGTCCTCTTTTATGTAAGTTGCAATATTGCATGTCATTGGGTGAATATAGTTTCCCTTCTTTCAACTAAACCTTAAATTCGTTGCAAAGATGCAATTTTAATCTCTCAGTGGCAAAACATTGATTACGGTGTTTATATCACGTCGATGCTTCGTGGTGTCACTCGTCGAATTTCCATTTCTTGTCTCAGTAGCGCATGCGTGATTGCCGACTTGTGCTCATAACGAACAACGACACAGATTATAAAGATCTCTATGACAACCAGAACAGCCAAGAGGGCACTCAGCTTCTGCCTTCCGGTGTCCCAGAGAAAAGCCATGGCTATTTTAGATCTGAAAAAGAGAGAAACATACGGCTGACACAAAGTTTCCATCAAATATAAAGTGTTCTGCAGTTGTTTGGGCGATATGGACCATAGGCCGGTATCGGCTTTGTTGACTAGTAATGTAGGATTTCCCTGTTCCATTCCTGGTCAACCCTTGTATTTTCGCTCTACTTGTTAATTTGCTGCCGTGTCCATACGAAGAATCCTTCTATTATTATCGAAAGTTAAATGAATATGATCACAGTGATAATTGTTGATACAATTATTTGATGACTGTGGACTGCACAATTTCAACAAAACAATGTTATCCAATCTCGCAGTTTCCTAAACATAGTTATTACTAACGAGGTAAATTTCAAGCGTCCCTTAATCTTCTAATTTATATTGGCTATAAAATGGCTATGAACATGATAGTAAAGCTTTTGACATTACAGTCAAATATCAAGGACAAAGAATTCGCACATGAAAATTTAAGTTCATAAAATGTTCTGGATATAATTTTTCTATCCCCTAATAACAAGTTTATTTACCTAAAGGTCAAATGTAGTGAAAATTAATGCTTGATGTTCATTTGACTCTTTCCGTTCATATACATGTACTACTCTCAGTAGACATCTGAATTTGACGAATTCGATTTTATTTTCTATTAGTGTTATTTCTCATATCAAACTCGACGAGCATCCAGTGATAATGCAGGGATGTGCCTTATCTAATTAGCACCCATCTACTTTTGCAGTAGCCTTCGTAAGAAATTTTAAAGTTGCCTTTCATTTTGAAGGTAATAAGAGTTTCATATACTTCCCTTAGGACTTGGGGATGAATCTAAAGAACCCTTATCATTTAATCTAAAGCAGCTTAGGATGCTGTGTAAATTAAAATAATTCAATGCATGAATGGTTATGTACACTGATTGACAGAATAGTATTGATAGAATATAGTACTGAAGTGAATCCTTGCAAGTTCCTCAACTAACTCCTTGAACTTAGATGTTTGTTTGTTTGTTGTTGTTTAACGTCCCTCTCGAGAATTTTTCACTCATATGGAATCGCCACCATTTGCCGGTGGAGAGCTGCAAATTTTGACCTATACTCGGCGCTTAGGGCCCTTGTGAGGGATCTTTTTCGTGCCAGCACCTATACTGCAACACGGGACCTCTGTTTATACGGTCTCATCCGAATGACCAAATGAACTTGGAAAAAATAAGAAATTTTCAGTTTCCGCTCTTTAACTTTTTAGAGGATGTACGTTTAATGTTGAAATTGCATATGCAGGTATTTTACCAGAAAATACAGGTCAAGTTCGAATTTGGTCAGGGTTCGATGGTTTTTGACAAACTTATCCCTCTTGATCTCAGAAAAACTAAGAAATTTTCAATTTCAACTCTCTAACTTTTGTATGGATGTATGTAAAAGGTTGAAATTGCATGTACAGGTATTTTACCAGAAAATACAGGTAAAGTTTGAATTTGATCGTGATTCGATGATTTTTGACAGAGTTATCCCTCTTGAACTTAGAAAAAATTAAACAAAATCAGTTTCCGCTCTCTTACTTTTGTAGGGATACATGAATATGCATAAGGTTGGAATTGTATATGCAGGAATTTTATCATAAAATACAGGTCAAGTTTGAATTAAGTCGTGGTTCGATGATTTTTGACAGAGTTGTCCCTCTTGAACTTAGAAAAAAAATAAAATAAATTTCAGTTTCCGTTCTCTAGCTTTTGTAGTGATGTGTGTATGAGGTTGAAATTGCATATGCAGGAATTTTACCCAAATTTAATTCAGTAAATATGAACAAAAGTCCAGGCGGGATTCGAATTTGGGATTTGCCGTTCACAAATCTGATACTTTAAATAACCACTTGGCTTTGATAATAGTTGACCAAATCGATCTATACAAACAATTTCACAAAACATTTAAACTGCCATCTTGTGACTCAGTGTTTTATTTAAGAAGTATAAGCATTGATGTAGAGAGCCACATTAATAAGATTAACATTGTATAGTTTTTATCGTAGTTATGTCCCTTGAACTTAGAAAAATAATCTTTTGTGCAAACAAATTTGAAACTAAATTAGGCATTTGAAAATTTGGCTGCCTGTGTGTGTGTAAGGGGGGGGGGGGCAATCGTGGCGTTAAGACTCATCTAGTTTCTTTACAAATTAATGCAACACTGCCGAGTGCATGTGAACTATAATATTTTAATATTGACCATAATGGAGTGAATTTATAAAAATGAAAACAATACACAATGTTTTATGAACGACATGAGTATAAATACTTTAGATATCAGGCTGCACGGTCCCGATAAGTCCGTTTTAACCTAATTAAATTCATAATGATATTATCAATAAGGATATCATATTTTCACCAAATAACAGCAAGCTGTTTTATCATTTTCTGTACATATTGTCTCATAAATTGTAAACAGCGTCGAAAAACCGCTTATAACAATTTTAAATCAATGAAATAGAGATATTCCGATTACCAGTTTTTAAATAAATATTTTGTCTCTGACGCTGAGTTATCTATATATCTAAAAACAATTCTATGATTGTTCAGATTCGATTCGCACACTATTTTTTCTGGCGTTTCCAAAGACACATTTAATTTCTTGCATTTTTATTCTTGATATTCCACCAGCTGCCCGATATAAAATATCGGAAAATGACAGTAGTCACTTTATTTACGAAACACTGATTTCAATTAAGATTTGACTTGTAGTTTGAAAAAAAAATAATCATTTTAATAACTTTTGAACACACTATCTGCAAACTTTAAGGTCGGCATTTTTACAAAAAATTAAGTTCAATCAATCAAAACCAAATTATTCTGACTTAGATTTTCATAAGAAATATGTAAGTATATACAATGTGTGTATCTTGGACAATGAATTGACAAAAAACGCCATCGTTCACGAACTTCATGTACAACCCTCGTAGATATAGGACTGATGAGGAAATCGCATATTTTGGTAAAATATAGGTTCATTATAATTTGGTATATGTATAAAAATTGGACGAGGTATGAAGAAATGTGTTCGCAGTTAATATATTCCTGTGCTTTTTCTTAAGGCAAAGACATATCGAAATTACCAAGAACCTATCACAAGTTTTTAAAACAAATTAGGCTCTAATATGAATTTGTAAAAATTTAGAAGTGGTGCAACACAAAACATTGTGTATGAATTTAATTAAGACGACTTTGATAACTCTCTCTCTCTCTCTCTCTCTCTCTCTCTCTCTCTCTCTCTGTAAAACACGCTTATAACGAAGTACCAGGGACTGTCGATTATGCTTCGTTATAAACATACATGTACGTAATTCGTTATATCCGTTAAGTTCACAATATAGTTTAAAGCCACGGGGAATGAAAATCACTTATAGTTGTAAGCGTCAGTTCATTATATTTAGCGTATTCGATATAACTGTGATTTACTGTATATGTACATGTTTGATGGTGCTTTACACTATTTATAAATCATGTAAACCTGCAGCTTTTGTTGTTCTGTATTGATTAACGTTACGCTTTCCACGGAAATCAATGAACCACAAAGATTGAAATATGGACTAACAACAGTCCACATTCCTAGAATACAGACTCGTTATTCTAATAAACATTTACCCCGTATATTCATAGGGTGACGGTAATAGATGTAAAATTAAATTCTATATACATGTATATCAGAGATTGAATCTCCTTCAAGTGCATATCATTCAGATGATTCGGTGTACAGATGATTCAATCAAAATTTAATAGAAAATACATTTTTATATAAAAGAAATGTTTTTCTTACCTATAACTACATTTGAAAATGTATGTGTTAACTTTGAAGATAATGCCCTGCTACCATTTGTTTTGATTCCATCACAGCAAAACTCGATCCGGTTTACCGCATCGCAGCATTTTGCAGATCAATGGATACATTCACTTCAGCAGTTAGAAGAAAATCGATATCATAAAATAAGCAGACAGCGTGGACGGACTTCGATTTTGAGTTTATCATAACTAGTACAAAACAGGATCTGTTACGTTACATGTAGAAGCCCTCAAGAAACATTTTTTTCGGAGGAGGGTACAACCCGAACTGAAATTCCTTGACAAGCCAAAGAAAAGACCGTCACATGTTATTGCTTAGGCTTGCAACCGAAATTTGCTTTTAAAAATTATTGGAGACATGTCCTCTCCCCCCCCCCCACTCCTTCCCCGTTCCAACGGGTCGATCTTTGTCGAATGTAACCTCGGCAAGTCCTGTGGAATTTGGTATGAACACGGGTTTTGGACACGCTTCTCATAGGGGGTTTCTCATTAGATAAATTTTATAACAGACTGATTATTGTTACATGTTCTTAAATTAAAAAATAAAGAACCCTTAGCAATTAGGACTCAGAGTGAAGACTTCAGATATATTTAGGACAGAACCTTGTTATAATTTTTTGAAATATATATAGCGGAAATTCAAATCCAATTAGAAATGGAAATACATACACGACTATATGGCCTTCTGCATCAAAATACAGATTGTTTCACCTGTGAAATCGAATCCAAGAAAGCTATTGAAGTTATAGTAGCTCTCCCTGAACGAAAAAGTCTTAACCTACTCCAAATTTACGAAGTCGTTTAAATTTTTTTTTTTTTTTTTTTTTTTTTTTGAAAATACATGTATATACCTACTTTTCACTTACATCATATTTTCCTAATAGAAAATACGTGATCCCCAATCTAAACATGCTAATAAATGTTAGGGGCGGCAAGGGGGGGGGGGGATTAAGTAATGGATATATGCCGAATACTGTTCTATATGTAAAATTATCAGACTGTTTGAGGCCCGTTAGGGCCGAAAACAGTCTGATAATTTTACATATAGAATTGTATGAGGCATATATCTTACTTAAAACATTGCTATTTAAATGTCCAAAAGTTACCTGGAGGAGTCTGATAATTACACAATAGGAGTTCAGGCATCAATAGTTTTCTACCTGAAACCATCTAATAAGTAGACAAAAGAAAAGAGAAAGTTTTTTTTTTCTTTAGACAATAAAATCAGTGAGTGAACTCTTTTGTTTCATTCATTCAATGGCAGTCGTTTGGCTTAGCAGGAACTATGGACAGTGGTCAGGGGATGAAGGTTTTTTTTATGATTCGGAATATTTTTTTTATTAAGTGCGTTTGACATTGATACAGATACAGTGTTGGATGATATCTTCAAAATGCATTTAGAGTAAAAATGCGGATTTTTATCTAAAATTTTGATTGGATGATATAATGAAAATCTTGGGTTTAAAAGTGCGATCATTGGCGAACAAACCTCGTTAAATGAAGAGATTCGCAGACTGGTTCTTTATCAGAAATGGATTTAAATTGGCTTATTCACAGTGCTGTATCGAAAACGCTTTGCAAAAAACCGAATGGAAAGTGTTACTTTTGAGGAAGGTTAAAACTCCAGTTTCGTCTTGGATTTGCTATTTTTAACAACTTAATTTTCTCGCGTTCGCTTTCCCTGAATTTTTTCTCCCTAACTTTTTTTTGGTTTCTGGACAATTTAAACCTTGATTTCACTCTATTTGTTGTTTTTTAACTACTGTCCGATTTTATTATCACTGCCGTCCGATAATATGTTATTGGACTGCTAATTATTATTATCGGACGGCTATAGGTAAATTTTTAGACTGCAAGAACAAAGGCATGACGTCACAGCAATGTTTTAAGAATAATTACATCAAAGATAAGTTAACACATGTACTCGGTCATAAGTATACATCGTCACTGTATGATCATTTGGTCACAGAGAAATTATCATATAATAAATTACTATATATATGTACTGACATTGATTATCCTTCTCTCTCTCTCTCTCTCTCTCTCTCTCTCTCTCTCTCTCAATAAAAAAAAAATAAAATAAAAATAAAACAAATATCGCTTAACGAAATGTAAAAATGTGAGCTTCGCATATATAACCAGAAGCTGACAACCATCCTCACAGCGAGCTGACACAGGACCCCTGATGTTGTGAGGAAATGGCTGACAATTATTATCATGGACAAGTCAGGCATTTTATTTATTTATAAACACTTTCCCCTTATCTTCTTGTCCCCTAACTTTTTTTATTCGACTTTGATCCGCCCATTTACACCGTCGCTCAGTTTCAAAAACGCTCTTTATTACAAAATTGTGATATTTTTTTTTTGTTTTTTCTAAATGATTACGTAGTAATATGTGATTTTTCTCCTTGGTAAAACACGTTAGGAGCGTACACGTACATTTTCACGATATGTATATCCGATTCTTTTATCGTTGTTAGATTGATGCTGCATTGATGCTGCATTGAACAAATCCGCCAGCTTTTCTTTAGTATGTCGGAAAAATATGTCGATTATCTTGTTGGTTCCTCTGGTTATAAAGCCCCTTACGTAATTTTATATTTTAAGAATGTTCAAAATCCCCAATCTTTTTTAATAGCATAGTCTAAAACTTGGAATCAATTTCATGCCAGTATTGTTTTGTTTTTTGCTTTCTCTTTATAAGCTTGGTTTATTTCAAAGTGTTTTTTAAAACTGATGATAATTTTTAAGTCTTGTATGTGGAGTATGAAAAATAACTGCAAAATGTTTGAAAAAGCAATGTTTTTGAAAAATCTGATTTGTCGCATTTGACTTATCCTTAATCTACAATACGTCCACGTTTTCAAAAAACGTCGGAAAGTCCCACAGCTATTAATAGCTGGTCTGATGAGATCAGCATTTATTCGGGAGCCGGAAACCGAGAAAGAAGTGGGTGATTATTCTGTTGGGAATTCATTGCTTTTAAATTCATTAGATATTTTGAATGCTTTTGCGTTAGATACCAAAATCTGTAGACTTGCATTCTCAACTTTATCTGCGATTAATTTAAAATTAATTGTTTGCTTTCCTTTTCTCATGTTTCTCACTGTTTCCCCAGCTTTTCTTAGTGGACATTAGGCCTATGACCTCGTTCTCCATATTATGTGGCGTAAACTTACCAAAGATACCGATGATTTTCGATCAATCTATCGATCGATCGCCATACCTGCTCATCTCACGATGGTTTTAGTAACTTAAAATTTGCGTCAAAAAACAAACAAACAAAAACCAAAAAAAAAAAATGGAGTAAATTTTTCTTGTGTTTCTAATTTTTCTCCATTTGATAAAATATTGTGTACACATCTGTATAATTCGTGATGATTCAATGAATGACTAAATTGATAGAAGCTACATGTATTGTTGCAATTCTAATTTAAATCATAGGCACTCCAAAGCTTAATTGTTAAAAAATATATATCTACTATACTATAAACATAACAGTAGATATATATTTTTTAACAATTAAGCTGGGGAGTGCCTATGATTTAAATGTAAAAATTTAGACTGATAATAAAACAGTAGAACATGATGCTAACAAACCCCTTTATTCTGCAAGTTTATATACATGTAATCAGGGAAGTTAAACTAGTTAGTAAGTAGTATTAATTACTATATACATGTATGTGCCTGATGTATTTAATTTTTAATTATGCATCTAAAGCATGTTCACATTCAAATACATACATATGTTCCTTCATACATACATACATACATATGTTCCTTCAGCATGTTCAGTGAAAAACCTTTTTTCTTTCTTTGAATCAGGGCATGGCCACGAACTCTTCCATTCTGGATGTACGAATTTCTGATGAGGATATTTGGCTTGTTGGACCTTCAGACATGAGTAGCGAAGAAACAACAGATAATGAATGTTTCGACCAAGATGTTATAGACAAGTGTTTTGAGGATCCATATATCAAAGAACATTACACAGATTTGAAGTGTATTGGTTCTGGGGGATTTGGCTCAGTCTATGAAGCCCGACATATATTAGACAACAAAAAATATGCACTGAAATTCATTCCAATTGACTCGCAAACTTTTTCTACAAGAGAGGTTGAAGGTTTGGCATCCATGGACCATAAAAATATTGTTAGGTATCATACATCTTTGAAAATTAAACTTTATAAACCACTTAATTATCCAGTATCTCTTTTGGACAATGAGGAGGATTCCGATTGTGTATTGTTTGAAAATGCATCATATTCTAATAACAGTGCCTCCGATTCATCAAGAGGTGAAAGAAAGGGAAAAGCTGAGATTTTAGATAAATTGGCAGAAAATGATGAGGATTCTGAAGGTATAACATTTGAAAAAGAAAATTCCACAAACTCTAACAACAATGCTTCAACATGCTCCAAGTTAGAATCATCAAGCTGTAAAAGAAAAACTGTGGCTTTTGATGCATGCTTGGTTGTGAAGACCGAACTTTGCACAGAGAAGAATTTAAAAACTTTAATCGAGAGTGGTGAAATATTTATTGAAGATAGAAGGAGACGTAATCTGTTCCTGGATATCATTTTTGGTCTTCAGTATATTCACGACAAAGGTTATATGCACCGTGATATGAAGCCACCCAATATATTGATTGACGTTGATGGCAGAGCCAAAATTGGAGATTTTGGCTTGGCTAGGAGATATATTGTGTCTGTTGCTGAGGTGGGCTCTCCATCTTCTGAAAAGGATAGAATTTGTTTCACCAAACGTATAGGGACACCTACATATGTTGCTCCAGAGGTGTTAAAAAGCAACTGTCCCTATGACAAAAAGGCCGACTTTTATAGCATTGGTATTATTCTGTTTGAAATATATTACAAAATGGGCTCTGGAAGTGAAAGGGCTGATACTATACAAAAACTCAGAAATCAAGATTTTGCACCATTAGAAGAAATTCCTGAAAAGTACAAGAATGTGAGAGTTGTGGTTGAGAGCCTTTTGAGCCATGAGCCATCGCTGCGTATGGATCTGGAGAGAGTTCTGGAGTTGATGTCACCTCTCGAACATCAGCAAAGTGTGGAAAGAACTCGGGTATGTAGGAATGTCTTCCATGTATTGAATGTCTTTCATAATTTGTTGAAGTTCTCAGAAGAAGTGAAATGTCAATTTTTTTAAAAAAAATTTAGTTATGCATAAATAATTATCAGTAAATTCCATAAATTTTCCAATAAAGGAATTTTTATAGTTATTATATTTTGAAGCAATTAGTTATGTTATACATTCCATAAAATGTAGTGATCACCTAATTAATTGTGTATAGATAATTTATAAAAATATTGTTCACTAGGTGGCCGTGCAGCCAGTAAGCTTCCCAGAGACAGAGTATCCAGGTCCCCCTAGGAAACAATCGCTCAGAAGACAGATTAGCGGTAAATTAGAAATATTCTGATAATAAAAGATAATTACTGGAAATTTCAAACTTAAAACAATGAAAGTATTATTGAACAATATAATAAAACAGGTGGCATCAAATGAATTTCTCACCAAGTTATTAACTAATGAAAAAAGAATTGTTGCTACCTGAAATACAAGTTGATAGTATGTAGAGTATGTGTAAAAATCTAAAATCTGTGAAAACAATGGACTTGATGTCATGAGTTACAAAAAAAAAATCAGTTTCAAATTTTATTGATATTGTCTTTAGAACCTCATCCCTCCATTGCTGAAGATCAAGTTGTACCAAATATTGCCAGGAACATCCAGGTTGAGAAAGGGAATTAATTTTTTCCCCTCCCAGACATTCGCCAATGCTTTTTGACGAGGATTAATTAGACATCCTCCCTGATGAGCAAAGACATGCATTAAGTGTTGTTTCAATGCCAGTGTTTTTGTACATGAGATGTGGCATTTTGCTCATCATAAAATTAATAAATGTTTTTGATTATTTTTTTGTTTGGAAAATATGTCCTAATATTTTATGTTCATGTTTCGGTATTTATTTGTGTTTGTTTTGGCTGTATATTGCTTTTAGTAGATAATTTATGTAGATAAGAAGTTCTTAACACACACACACAAATGTCAAATGTACAAAACCATTTATTGAAATGAACAAAACCGTACTCTATATATGTTTTATATATATATATATATATTCTGCATTTATAATTCACAGCTTAAATATATAGTATATCTATTACTTTATCGAAGCATGTAAAAAAAAAAATAAATAAAATGTTATTTGTCACCTTTGCTGTTTAAATTAAAAAGGTGGATGCTTTGTATAAATATATGTTATGTATATGATGACTGCAAGATAAGTGTGTATTGTACATATATGTAAATATATGTGCATGTTTCTTATCTGTAGTTTGCTAATCTTTATGTCATAAATATATGTATTACATACACATGTATGTGTACATGTGTGATTCTTATTGAAGTTATTAATTTGCAATTATGGAGAAAAATACTTATGTATATGTTAGTAAATGCTTACCTTTTTAAAAAGTGTTATATATATGTAGGACTCCAAAGTGCGATGGGACTCCTCCCCCCTCCCCCCCCCCCCCCCCCCCCCCAAAAAAAAAAAAGGGAGAGGGCTACATTATTGCAGCTAGAGTCCTACATATATAATAATCTTTTTTTTTTTTAAATAAAGAAACACATTTTGTCTCCTCGTACATATATTATATATGTGAATTGATAAGGTATTCATTTATTTTGCTTGGATTAAGAATTGTGAATATTTATATATTTTATAAACCATGCTTAATATAATGTACATTGTAATTAGTATACCAGTATGATTTCAACTGGTAATGAAAATAATGATATATACAGTATGAAGTTTATTGTGCTTGAACTAATGTATATATTGAATTAAGGGTCATGCGATTTGTTCAATTGTGGACACAGTAACTTATTGATTTTATAAGAATGAAGTTGCTGTACATATAACTTGAACTTAAAATATTGTTTTTATTAACAGTTGATAATTTTTGCATGGTTTCAAATACTAAAGCAATGTCTATACTTACACATGGATTTATAAATTCATGTGATGTTTAACCTGAAATATTTTTGTGTTATTTAATTTTTGTTATTGTATTCTGCTGCATGATGGTGTTTATTAAAATATTTTTGTTTAAACATTCAAAAAATGTGAAAGTAATAAATGATTTCATAAAGATATGTTTGAAAATAATATAAAATGTCTTTTATATACATGTATATGAGTAAAATTTTAATCTCTATCGAGATTAAAAAATCATTATAAAACGATAGCTATTAGAATTATACATATATGAATATGTTAATTATAGATATGTTAATTATAGATTGTGCTTTTTTGAAAAAGTTTAAAATTTTTTTAGTAAAGTTTAGAAAGAGATATGCAATTATAGTGGGCTGTTTTAAATGATTTTTAAAATTTTCTTTAATTGCTTTCTTAGATGTTTTTTTTTTTTCTTAAATCAGGTATTAAAAATATTGAATCATGAAAAAAATGAAATTGGTAACAGTTTTATAAGAAAACCATACCACTATTACATGTCTAGAGCAGATTCACATTTGATTGAAAATACTTGTAATCATATTTTGAATAAGATAAAAAAAAATGAAATTTAGATTTGATTAAAGAGGAATTCTGTCTAAAATCAAGTTTTAGCTTTATCTTTGTATTAAATTTTATTTGACAATGGTTATTTTGTTTTGAAGTGCATGTATTTGGAATTACATTAAAAGTTCCCAATTCAAAGACATTAGTCGTGTAAAAAGCTAAAATAACATTCAGAGTAGTCTATGTCGAAATCTAACAAAGCCAAAAATTAGCAGTATGTTATCTATCGATTGCTGTCTTAGCAGGTAGACATTTCTTTGATATGGACCGATACAAGGATTTTATACCTTCGGAACAAGAGAGGTCCAGACCAAGGCTGTAACTGGGCTCAAATTGATAGTGCGGCAAGGGATCTGGGGGCCATCCGAGAGTCCCAGGGTATTGTCCTGATAGGGTTTCTCGGGGGAGGGAATACCAGAAACCTTGGTTTTAGCAAATTAAAGACTTAATCTTGAAAGTTTTCACATTTTGAATTATTTTTATATGCTTTCTAAACTATTATCAAGCACCTGGTGAGATGATCGATTTACGAAAATTGATTGATTGTTTGTTGTTTAACGTCCCTCTGGAGAATTTTTCACTCACATGGAGACGGCACCACTTGCTGATGGAGGGCTACAAATTTTGACCCATGCTCGGCACTGAGGGCCATTGAGCAATGAGGGATCTTTTTCGTGCCAGCACCTGCTGCGACACGGTCTCATCCGAAGAACCGCGGTCTCCACAATGGTATTCGAACGCACGATGTAAGGATCAACTCCTTACTCCGGACTCTTAGAGCAGACGCTCTAACCACTGCGCCACGCGGACGACACGGAAATTGAAACTGAATTTGAAAGTATTAATTTAGTACAAAGACACACATATTTAATTAAAGTTCAAAGTAAAACTTTTCTCCCTTTTCAGAAAACTCTGAATTTTTAGTGAGGCATTTGCCTCACTTGCCTCAATGATAGTTACGGCCATACAGACAAATCAAGTTCTGCATACTTTTTATTGAAGAAACATTAAATTTAATAAGTTATATTTTGAAAGTTCACCACGTGTTGTCAAGTTAATATAGATGTTCATGATGTTGATGCAATTTTGAGTTTCTCACCTACAATTCATTCTTGCACATTATCTTCCTGGAAGATGTATGTCCAGTTTTGGTGATATTTAGCATTAGAATGCCAAAATTGGCATTAAAACATTCAGTATTCTAACCGGAGGGAGTTATTCGCTGTATCATGTTGTAAATTTTGAATTTACTAGGGGGAGGTAAATGCAAAATTTACAACATGATAAAGTTATCAAGTTGTAAATTTTGCATTTCCCTCCCCTAGTAAATTCCAAATTTACAACATGATAGCTGTCTGGGTGTCGATATGTAAGTAATACCCTTAAATTATAAAACATGGCTGTGGAGTTTCCTGGGCACTGTATATTCCAAGACAGCGTGGTCTCTATTTGCCTCATTTTTTTTTTTATTCTAGATAAAAGCTTTCCATATCTTTCTTTAAAAATGATCTTTTTTTTAACTGCAAAATATATGTTTGGACCAAACGTAATTAAAACAGTGCAGTCTAAATAAGATCAGCCTTTGTGGTGTGCCTTCATGTCTTAAGATAGAAATATCTGATAAAGTTGCTAACATGTATAAAGAGTTGCCTCTCTTTGATCACATATTTAAGAACTGCGAACTATAGTATTGTTCTCCCGCCTACCTCCAAGTCATTTTTCAAAAGTTAAGATATTCGAATGATTTTTAATATTTATATTGATATATATATGGATTTTCATAAAACATTGCTTCTTTGGGAAAACAACGAGAGATAACTCTAAAATTTTGGTAAAACTCGTGTGTTTTTTTCACTATAGAAATCAACGGAAAACGGAAAATATTTTTAAAACATCTTTCCCCCCCGTGAAACAAAAATTCCTTTTTACGGGTAATATGGACTGTCATTTCACAAATTCATACCAAAGCTTTTTTGTTTCACGGGGGGGGGGGGGGGGGACATATGTTTATATACAAAAAACGACAAAAATGCTTATTTTTTCAGCAATTTCCAAGTGCTTTACAACTGAAACATTATATTTCACTAATATATATGCTTAATTTTATATGTATAAAACATAAGAAAAGATTTAAGAAACATTTATTCATATCCAAGAATATTTCAGAATATGGTGATGCTTTATAGCCCGATTTCAGTGGAAAATATCGTCTACCCCCCTTATTTCAAGAGCTGGAATTAGGGATATTTTACTATTTAGCATTGGAATTAAAATAATTAATCAATTACCATTGAACTGTTCTTTGTATTAAACAAAGATTTTATGGCCAGATTGTCATCAATATTGAATTAAATGGTTGTAAAATGTAGGCGGGAATCGGGAGTTACCGTGCGTAGTTCTTTAATGTACAACTCCATAGAAGTAACACTTTAAATATAGATAATTGATACATAAAACATTGCAACACAGCTAAAGTTGAACTTAAAAAGGGCAACATCCTTAAAATGTGCAAATACAATATCAAAACTGTACATCACTCGAAACATATACAGATTACAAATGTTGTGCAGCTGACGCGTTGTTTATGAATTCTGACGTTCTAGTAATAATTAGAACAGCAGAATTCATATAAACTTAATGGGTGATTGAATGCCAGGGTGAGGCTTGTTTGCTGATATTTATTGAAACCTTTTAAAACATAGATAAAAAAAATATTGAGTAGATTATTTCTAACATTTATAAAGATTCTAAACTGTCTTGAATTGTGTATTTCAAATTGAGATATGAGGGCAAAATACTAAGACCTACAACATGTACAAATACAGAAAGGATAAACATAATGTACATTGTTATGCGTTATGTATATTATGAAAAAAAACAACATTCAAACACCATTGCTATTATAAATTTTTTTCTTTGATTTTTTAACGGGCATATACAAAAAAAATTAAATCACTTTTCTTTTTTCTCGATCATCGTGCACACCTGTCCGTTAAAGCTGAACACCTTTGTAAAAAGAATCTGTCCACCATATTCGATTGGTTTCTAGCTATAGCTGAGGACCCCTATATAAAGCCACTCACTTAGTCGCTCTTCGGTGTAATCAATTGTCATCAGTGTATTTGACATATATGCTACACAGCACCGGTTACGACAAAAAATCACTGTGTACTTCTTCTAATGCTGGAGAGTAAGATATTCCAAAGAAATTTAAAGCAGTTGCACAGGTCAGTACAGTAAACAAACACAAATACAGGCAACTGCACTAAAATGTAAAAAAAAAAAAAAAAAAAAAAAAGGGTAATGCAAGATAACCAGCACGGACACTTGTTGCCATTCCACGCAAATACATGTACCCTTGACAATAAAGCAATCAGGTGTAACGAATGCGAAGGGTATACCCCGGTGATGATATCGTAGATAGCATTATCGAAAATGGCGTGTGCCTATTTACGAGTTATGTTCAGCTTTAATAGGAATATGGTTTGTTACTCTTGATTATTAAACATTTTAGATGTTTTGCTAGGATAATATAAGATTTTGCACAGCTCAATAACAGGTTTAAGCCATGACTGTCTCTACGAAAATTTTTAAAATTATTTGTGCAT